AAAATTAATAACTCGGGTCAGCTAGCTAACTGTCTGGAGAGCGTTAATGAAGTCGGTAACTCTAATACAGTTTCAAGTGAATCGGTAACTACCGTGACTAAGTATTCGGTGGCGAACTCGAACACGCCTACAGCAAGCGCGTCTATGTCTGTCAAGTCGACATTTGGCTGTCAGCCTGAAAACACGACAGCGAGTATGCGGTTATTTGGTTCTCCCGAACATTCTACTGCTCTTACGAAGTCTAGCTTCCCTACGGAGGCTGATGACGACGACTTCATGTCCAATTTTCCGATCAGTGCGCGTGATTACACTACAGAGGAACAGTTCGACCAGGCACTGATGCTACTTGGTCCGCAGTCAGATTCTGAATCCCAAGACGAGACCTCGTCACAATACCTAAGCAATTTGGTAAAAAGTTCTTCACCGAAAATGGAGGAAGCAGAGCAGAAACCTACGCAACGCCTCTCGCCTGCTGAGCAACAAATGGAACGATCTCCAGTGGCTTTGGCTGTAATAAAATGTGACAACGAGACTTCCTCTGCATCTCTCAGTCAGTCACCTATTCTTGCGAGTTTGGCCGCTGATTCTGGAGGGGAAAATCTGCAAGATCCTTCTTGGCTTCCTGTTTTGACGACGAATAACAGTAGCGTCATTGAAGGGAACACTCAGCAGTCTGGAGAAGCTACGCTACCCATGCACGATGAAGTCGAGCAGGTGCATCCCACACATAGTCCCTCGCCGTCGGTTCTTAAGATGGGGATGACTGAGGATGTCGAACACGTAGCCGGAGAAGACGTTACTTCTGCTGAATTACACACGGCATGTGATGATGATGTTCTGAATGATGATTCGGGAAGCGAACTCGACTTTCTTCCCAGTCATGACGAAAAACTGCTATTCCGTCTTTCTGATGATCATCTGAGTTTTGATAGATTGCCCTCCTGCTCCAGCGAAACTGAAGAGGCCCAAATTGAAGCAGACCCTGATCCCGGAACTGAACAGACCCAAACTGAAGCAGACCCTGTCGCAGAGGTGTCATCGAAAAGTACTAGATATCTTAGCGACAGGTCAACTTCCAGCTCTGGCAATACTTCTGTTAAGTCGTCAAAACTAGACGTGAGGCATTCACCGAGGACAGCAAATTTGGGCGCGGGCCGTCCGAAAAAGACAGATCCATCGATTCGTTCCTCTGCGTCCTCCCATTCTCAGCAGTCTACAACTTACCTCCGACGCAGAAGTAATGGTAGTGCCGAAAACTCTAAGGCCAGAGAAGATTTAAGTGGCACCCCTCAGCGGTTTACCAGAGCTTCAGCTAGACGTAACTCCTGTTCTAACGCTTTCGAGAAGGCTCAGGCGACCCCCTTGAAGGAAAGGAAAAGTGAGAGCACCGTCCGTTCTCCAACGGCCATGGATGCAGAAGAATCATTATCCGGGCGATTACGATCGCGTTGTTCACTCACCAGCGAACTACCCAATATAATACAGGCTTCCAGTCCTACAACGCTGTTATCAGTTCTTAA